TAATAATGATAGTCAGATGGCCTCTTTAAAACAAATAAAAGCAAATTACAGCTGTGTTATAAGGCAATATATTAAAAAAAAAATGTAAGAGCTGTTCTGGATCATACTAACAACCAGACCAGCTTTCCATACCCTGAGCAGCCTCCAACTACCAAGACATTAATTCCCAGAATTTTCAACTAGTGTAATCATTGTTGAGTGCTGCAGGCTGGATGACTACTCTAAATATTTTATAACACTAAAAGCCCACTGTCCTCTGCCAATGAAAAGCAGTGAGCTTGGGGGAATTTGGACTGAAAACGGCAGTTTGACTCCTTTCCCTCTCTGTCTGGGGTGGGCTGCAATCTCTAAGAGCAGCTAAAAGATCTTCTGAATGGGACTCAGGCCCTCTGCTCCAAAGCCCTGGGAGAACTGGAATCTGTAAGATAAATTTGGCAGGGAAAGTACAAACATCAGGATGTATTTTTATTACTTTTCAGTGCTGCTTTGTTCGGCTACCTATTTTATCTTTAGTCTTCTTTCTGACCCTCTGTATTGTTGCAAGTGTGGTACTCCATTTAGAGGTTACTGGCACCATGTGCTAGTTGGGCCTGATGAAAAGAGAGTTGTTTATTTTAAACTTGGGGAGGGAGGGTCTCCTGTTCTGCTTAATTCAGGTTCCAGGTGGATGAGAGGGCATCTCTAAGGCTACCACATCTGGGCAAAAGATTCTGGACAATCACAAGATGGCAGCAGAGAGAGATGCTTTTCTGTGCCTCTCTGTTGCCATCTAGTCAGGTCCTCTGGACATGTGCAGCTTAGATCAGGAATAGGGGGTGGTAATTTAACTATCTGCCTTTTATACCCAGGCAACCCAGAATGTGGGTAGAGGTGGAAGGTGGGAGCCTCTGAGAGGTTTTTGTTATGTTTGTGACATTCATCCTGCTACAACAGCCAACCAGATTTTTTTTTAAAGAAACTGAGAAGGAAGAAAATGTTCTCAGTCCCTAGTTGAAAGATCTTTTTGTAGATATTTAACCACCCAGATAATGTAATGGTGTCAGCAAATCTGAACAAGTTGAAAACACTTGAACAATTTAAAAAGCGCTTTCCCCAATACAGTCCCATCCCTATCTACCCCCAATGAACTGCACACTTTTGACCTTCAGAGAATGTTTTGTGCATCTGACAGCGACTTCTTGCACACTTACAAAGGAATCCTAGTGTACTGCAGAGACTTATGTACACTGTAGAATGTACACTCAGGTAATCTGAAGGACAACGGCAAACTCTTGAACTGCAATCCTGACTTATTAAAAAGTAGATCTTAGGACAAGAATCAATCCTTGAGGCTTGTGGACACATTTGAAATGCTGAAAGTGATTATGGACATTCCTATAAAATGCCTGCCATGGTTGCTGATTACTTTATAATAATTGTAGTATATATGTGGGGCCCAGAAACATTCCTGGAAATTAAATTGTGCTTCAGGCTGGCATTCTGCTTTACAGTGTGCTATCATTTCTTTCTTTTTCTCTATCTTTTTAAATTAAAAGAATATTTTAGAAAAATCAGTGGCATGTGAAGCCTTGGGAGCCCCATGGTCTGTGGGTACCATGTGGGGGACCCAGGTACAGCTGTACCTTATAAAGAAAGACTGGTTATGGTACATCAGCCAGTCACTTGTCAAGGAAACATGTTGACTGTTTCTGATCATTTCATGTCCCTGCTAAAACTCTTGTTGGCTGCTAGAGTATTTCTGAAGATTTACTGTTTTGAGAATATTTTACACTGCAGATGGAACAAAAGTGTCCTATATATTCTTAAAATAAATACACAAGCTTGCAAGGATCCCCATGTCAGCCTTTCACGGTAGGCCAGGTTAAGAAACAGACATGACAAGAAATATTAGAACTCTACTTTATTATAGTAACAGAATCTTGAAAGCCTGGCAGCATTGTCCCCTCCCTCCCTCTTATATTAAGACAATCAAGATGGGGCAATCTTGAGTTCCTTTCTCATGCTTCTTTGTCCTTCTGGGCTAAGGTTATATTCTATTAACGGTTGCTGCAAACCTTCTCCAAGATCATCTCTCTGCTCCTTTGCACCCTCAGATTTAAGAGTGGAACAGTAGTTAGTGACAAAGGTAGAACCCCCACTCTTACCCCAATGCCATCTGGCCTCTTCTGTAAATTATCTGCAGGTATCTGATAACAGGAAAGGCATCTGCATGAATTCTGCTGCCAGACAAAGCAGTCAGTATCCAGCTAATTGATATATAATCCAAACTGATATAGGACACTCTTCCATATTCCTTGGGTGACCCTTTGAAAATCAGGGCACCCAACTGTCCTCTTCCCTTTGACAGAGCCAACTTAGAGAATGCTTTGTGACTTCTCTGCCAGCTTGTGTCAAGAAGACTCCATTGCTCATCAGCCAGGTCTCTGTCACTGAAATTCATTGGCGAGCTTTCAATCATAACCAAATACTCACCAAGGAGTACTAACAGGAAGCATGGATGAGAAAGTACTACACTCAGACTTAAATGTTGAGATCTGATGTGGAATTTCCAGAGTGTGACTTGACTTGACTTGCCTGATTCAACCATCTTCTATTACCCACAAACCATAGTTCATGAAGGTTTTCTTTTTGGGGAATGGGGGAAACAGACACTTCTTGAAAAGTACTGCTTGGATTAACCTTATGCAGGAGAGAAATAAAAAAACCACCTCTCCCCTTTTTTTCATTTCAATTCCCTTGATGAAATGAATGCATGACATGGCTTATTTCAGGCCATGAGTCAGCCTGGGAAAAACAGTGCATCTGTTTTTCTGCAGTTACTTAGATTCCTGTGCACGCAGCAGGCCTGGAGGGGAACCCCCTCAGGAAGAGAGATCAAAGGGAATCTTCTTTCCCACACTTATTTGGAACTTTTCTATCCTGGTATCTCATAATATACTCAGCAACAATAATGGATTAGCAGTCTTAGAAGAAGAGCATCCATGTTTATGGAAGTCGTTCCAAACTAAGTAATTTGTTTGCTTCATCTCCTCTATTTTAACACCAAAATTCGACTTGATTTATTATTTATTCAGCAGACATAAATGTGACACATATAACACAAAGTAAAATCACAAAGGTATGCCAATTAATAAATAGAAACTCAAAAAAAATTATACTGATTAACAGAAGAAGACATTATGTCTTGTTTGGAAGTAAACAGTGGCAAGGTTTGGGCAGTGTGGTTTTCTCTTACACCAAAGGATTCCTCTTTGGAGAAAGATTAAAAGCTCCTGAGATACAGTAGCAACTTTCACTATGACCTCCTAAGTGGAATGGGGGCTCCTATTTCCTTCAAGGAGATCCTTCATCTTTGCTTCCTGAGAATGATAGAGTTCTCTTGTTGGGACAGAATCAATGGGATGATGGACAACAGAAAATAAGGTAATAGCTAGGCAAAGGAATGCTCTCTTGAGAAACAGAACTGCATATGAGTAAAGGTTTACTCATCAGTGGGAACTCTGTAAAAGCTTCTCTTCTAATTTCAGTTGAGCATCTTTATTACTGATACACTGATGTTGACCTTTGGCCTGGCTTTAGAGTCTGCTTACAGCTAGACCCTTTGTTTGAATGAATTTCAGATTGCTTACTGGCTCTGATATAAGTAACTGATACGAAAACCTGACCTGGTTACAGAACAGACACAACAAATAGCTAAAGTTTCCATCCATATTTTACATGCCACCAACCACATTATTATTAAAATCTCTTACAGGCATTGCAACACTTCAAGTAAACAGAGAATCATAAAATCATAAGGGGCCATTGACTTCAGCCTCCTCAGTGTGGGATACACAATGAAGCACACTTGACAGATCTCTGCCTGAACACCTCCAGTGAAAGGGAGTCCAACACCTATCTGGATAATTGATTCCACTATTCAGTATCCATTGCTCTGTTACTATCCTCTAACTTTCAATTGGAATTTGTCTTCCTGTCATTTAAATCTATCAGATTTTCTAAGTTCCACTGCTGGAGTCTACCATATTAAGCCAGCCTCAAGTAATATAAGGGCCCTGCACAAGACTCAGATGGGAACATATTCTGCAACACTGACTATTCTGAGAGACTTTTAGCAAAATGAGTCCTGTTTGGCCAGCCATGGGGGAATTCAGTGCAGTTGAAGCAACAGAACCACCAATCTTACTACCTGTTTCATAAGTAAGTTCTACATTAATTAAACCAACTGCTCTTCAAAGGTTTACACCTCAATCCTTGATTCTTACCTCAAAGCTAAATACATTGAATACACAAGTATAGTTGCATTTTAAGGGGATAATTAAGTTGAACAGAAACAGCCTCTGGAGGTCAAGTGCTAAAGACAGTTTTCATGTCATCTCAACAAAGGAAGTTTCAGAAGATCACTTCACACATTCAGCCCTGAGTCTTTAGATGAGGAGATACTAAACAAGAAGCATACATACAGGCAGTCCTTGACTTATGACCACAATAAGGTCTGGAAAATTTGTCATTAAGCAGTGCAGTCATTAAAGAAAGCATCATGTGACCACACCCAATTCTACATTTTTTGCGGTGGTCATTAAGCAAATCACCCTGATTGTTAAGTGAATCATTTAATAGTTAAACAAATCACATGGTTGTTAAGTGAATCGCGCATTTTCTAATTGATTTTGCTTGTGGAAGCTCACTGGGAAGATCGCAAATGGCAATCACATGACCCCAGGATGCTGCAACCGTCATAAATACATGCTGGTCACCATGTGCCTGAATTTTGATCATGTGACTGCAGGGACGCTGCAACACTTGTAAGTACAAGGGCTAGTTGTAAATAATTTTTTCAGTGCGTCGTAACTTTGAACGGTTGCTAAACAAATGCTTGTAAGTTGAGGACTACCTGTATGTGAAGTGTTACAGATACTACTGAATTATATTTCATTTTACTGGCTCTTGAGTTTTCAGCACCAACTCAAATGAGGTCCTTTCTCCATTTAGTCTCTCACCTTCCTGGATGTTCTTGGAGGACCTGGTAGACACTGATTTGGAATGTTTCATTATCAAACCGTTCTCTAATGTAGTCCTTGTAAATTCGAAACTCAGCTGCAGTCACTGCTTCACCCTCAGGGATTCTGGAGAGGTCAAATCGGAACTCCCGACGATGACTGCGCTGGTGATAGAACTCCTTGTCATGTTCCACTACAAAAAGAAAAGCAATTTATTGGTACCAGTGATTTTTCAATGACCCATAAAGTATCCTATGGCAGAATTATTATCTATGTATTAACCAAAAAAAATGTCTGGTAGAGAAGAAAATGTATCCTTAGGATAGGAGGACATTTCTACTAACAATACATTTTAAACCTTTGCAGAAGTAACATTAAGAGTGGGTGTCTGCTGGTTATTCAAAATAGGTGGACATGCCATATGTTGGGAAGGATCTGTGCGCTCTTGTGCTCTATTGTATAAGAATGAGAAACTAATCCAATCCACTCTGAACATAAGATTCACAAACTCAGACAACCTAAAAAAAAACATAGTATACAGTATAATACAAAATACAATATAGGGGATGAGAAACCAGATACACATTATTGATCATCTCTGGGTCTCCTGTGGACTTTAGAGTATTATTATTCCCATGTGGTGGTAGAAGAAATGGGTCCATCTTAGAAAGTTGTTAATATCAACTCTTACTGCAGTTTCTGGAACAGCATATAGGATATACCAGTCTTTCCACCTAGACTTTTTCCTTAGACCAGCAGACACAATGCAAAGGAATTCTGGAAATTCTTGCTTTATTAACATTGGGAGAACACTAATATGAGGAAGAATCACAACAGATGATGGCACATAACTAGTTGTGGCTCATCTCAACAAAGCTAAGCAGGGTCAGCCCTGGTTAGTACTTGGAGAGGAGGCTATAGGAAATCCCAAGGCTGTAGACTAGACTGGGAAGTGAAAACACATACTGGAAAAAAAGGGGGCAGGGGACACACCACTTCACGCTTTTTGCCAAGAAATATTTCTTCACACAACCCATGGTTACTATGGAATTTGCTTCTAGAAGATATATAAACCATGGCCATTAACACAGATGGCTTTAAAGTGTGGTATCACTCCATAAGCACCCTTATGTCTTCTCCATAAATTTGTCTCTCAATTGCTGTCAGATGACAGATACGTCATATGTACTGAGGAAATAATAGAAACAATAACCAAAGAATTTCAGCAATTGCTGTGACTCAAAACAAGCTCTATATACAGAAACAGTATTCAAACTCTCTTGCCTATCCTCCTTTTTGCCCTAGGTAACTGACCACTTGGCCCCTGTTTTGGGCAAGCCAGCTTGCCTCCATCTGTCCTTTGTTTTTGCAACCATTCGATCTGTTATTGTTGTCCCCCCCCCCCTTTTCTGACTGTGTGAGAACTAACCTTCATACTAACTACTAATCATGATGGCAATGCATTACCCCAATTATCATTTCCCTCAATCTGAACTCCGCTTCTGATGACTTCATGGACATGTCCATGGAATTTTCTTGGCAACAGTAAGGAAAGGGTTTGCCATTTCTTTGTTCTGGGACTACCCAGGGTAATCTTGTATTCCCTGGATGTTTTCTATCCAAGGGCTAATCAGGCCTGATCCTGCTAATCTTTTGAGCTCAGATAAGATCAACCAGGTGCTGCCACCTGCTGAGACAACAGAGACAATATGGCTTTCCATATAGTTGTCGAGGAACAGGAGGTGATAATTGTGTTAATTTTCCTTGTGAATGCATCAATATTTATTATTATTTTTGTTGTTGCTATTATTATTATCGGAATACAAACAACTGCAACACCAATAGAAAATAATGGTTATACAGTGAGAAAAGAATCTACAAACATTTCCATCAATAACTAGCAGGCCACTGTTAAAAACCATGATGCTCAACTAGATACGTGTTTGAATTGATCTAATATGGTTATAAGCATCAATCAGAGTTGAGGAAAAGCACTCCTGGGCACAGATGCTACTCCACATTCAGGGATGCATTTATCAACATCCCCATGCTCAAACTGAACATTAAGATGGACCTCAGACCCATCAGTAGGAGGCTGAACAGCCCTATCATCAGGAAAAGTCTGAAATGAGTTTTAGACTGTCAGCTTCATCCAGCTCACTGGTAACTCCAGGTACTTGTGAGTAAGAATGGCTTAGTGATTTAGGCAAACCTGTGTTTTGCCGGAGTTTTTTTTTTTTTTTTACAAAAATCACTGCTGAGGCACAAGTGAGGCAATCAAGGGTGGTTGGCTAGACAGTGCACTGATGTAAGGAAAGTACAAAAACAGACATAGTTAATGCTACTTTCATTTAGTAAGGGGGCTACAACTAGCTGTATGAATTGTGTGATTCATATAACATTGTCCGTTGCTTCCCATGATCTTATACTACTTGAGTCAGAACTGAATAGTGGTAAACCTGAAGGTCATGTTGATTTTAATATTTTTGATTCATCTGAAGTTCTCTATGTGGTTCTCTACTTCCTACCTTCTACACAGGATAGTTATCCAGAAAAATGCTTATTATGAGCAATGAATTCTCTCATCAAAACCTAAATTTATTTAGCCAAAGTAAAATAGGCCACAGGATGTGGTCCATGCCAACACATTCCAGTTGCCAATCTTTAATGATTCTCCCCCCCCCGCCCCCATTATTCTATGTCACCTTTACCCAACTTGGTGCCCTCCAACATGATGGACAACAGCATGTCACCCTAGTTAGTACAAAAATTTCTGGAGATGGTAGGTTTGGAGTCCAACACATTTACATGGTACTTGTTTGTAAAAGACTGCTCTGTGTTATTTGCCAACAACCTTCCTTGAATATAGTATATATCAATTCTGCTGCATTGCAATAACTGATTATTCTTTCCACAATAACCATCTCTATTCCTTTTGAGTATTCCAGATTTGAACACAATTATTATTAATTATTATTTATTAAACTTGACTGCTGTGGAATCATTCCTACTCCCAATGGTTAACAACAAAATGCAATACAATACAATTTTATTTTTAAAATATTTCTACCCAGGCTTTTAATTGCAGAAAGGGATTCTCAACTTTTAACTAACTGGCCAACCAGAATGTCATGGGGCACTTTTTCAAGGAATTTTCAGATCCATTACTTTATGATCTTACCTAGAATATTCTGAGGTACTGATATCAGACTGACTGGTCTGTAGTTCCTTGAGTTCTCCTTTTAGAAGACAGACAATAATTCCCTAGAACTTTCTTCATTCATTAGGATTTCTCAAAGATAATGAGAAAAGTTTCAACCAGACTGTTAGCAAGTTCCTTCAACATCTTAGAATGAAATCCTGGAGTTCTGAACTCACTCATGGTCACTAAGTATTCTACAAGGATGTCAAGCTCAAGCTTGAATCCTGCTTCTTCCTAATTGCCAGGCAGAACACAGGTCCACTTTTTGGAGAAGACTGAGTTTTATAGGATTTAAGTAAAACTCAGTCTTTTTTAATGTTCTAGTTCTTTTCCATTTTCATTTAATAAATGGCATGCTGTTCCTTTTCTTTTCTCTTCCATTTACTTATTTAGAAAAAAACTTTTTGGTTAGTCTTACCATTGGTCACCAACCTCAGTCTCTCTAAGCTTTAATTTTCATAGTATCACCTGTACAAATCTGGACTACCCATATGTGCTTCTCCATGATAACCTGTTCTTCTTTCCAACTCCTTTATTTGTCCTGTTCCAGTCTTTCATTAATCTTTTTGCACAGAACTCCTACCCAGCTTGGGCTTCTTTCCCCATGAGCTTCTCCTGTCATGGAATTCTGCTTACTGTTCCTCTGAGTTTATTAAAAAGTGGGTTCTTGAAGCCGAAAACATGAATTTGGTTATGCTCAGCTTGTTTCCCATCACATTAAGAATTCCAATGGGATCACTTTCTACCCACTTTCTACCCAGCTTCCACTTTGTCCACTAAATCTTCCTTATTGGAAACTTTGACTAAGTGTTCCCTATTCTCACTTTTTGTTTTTTTTAAGTACTTCATATAAAGGGCAGCAGAAACAGCTTTCAATTGACAGGCACCTCCATATTCCAGCAAAATAAGATGGTCAACATGTGCTCTCTTTTATACATGAAGCACACATTCAGGGAAGTCTCATCTTGGGCTTTTCAAAGCAATCCATTTTATACAACATAGCTGCCTGTTAGTCATTTGTTCTGGGGGTAATCCAGATGTTCTTTGTCTGAGTTGTACTTGATCACATTTTCCCAAACTCACCACAATGTTTTGTCACTGAGATGATACAGCTTTCTTCCTATGCCAGCACCCAGGCACTATGACCAACGCTGGAATGTAGCTACATGTCACAGACACCAACTGGACATCGTCTGGGCATCTTCCCACCCTCAAACCCCTTGTCTGCGCAATTTTCTAGCTACATTATGGTCTAATTGTACTGTTTGAAGTGCATCAGGAGAAAGCATTAAAAACATACAAGAAAATGATACTGTTAGAGAGATTGAGTTTTGAAGAGAATTGATTGATTCTCTTCCAAAGTATGGCCACCCATCTCACCTGCATGTGACTCTGGGAGGTGTGCATAATTAGAACACAAATTAACAATCATAAAATTCAACCATTAATACCAATTTAACAGTTAAAAACTATGTTAACAAAATCTCCCGAGAGTATAATCTAAATTTATACACAGTGCAACTATTTAGCACCCTTCCAACTTCATAATTCTATTCTAAAATTACTCGCACAGATCTCTTCTGCATTCTACATCATTCGGACAATTCTAGGTTATAAACTAAGGAGCTGAATGCTATGCTTCCAACCCTGGACCACGGTTAGTAACTGAGTGGACAGATATTATTTCCTGTACTCTAATAGCCCCTGTACTTAAGTATTCAAGCTTATGCTTTGATTTCACGCATTTTAGTTCTTTATTGACTTGTTTTAATTCTTTAAAGTCTATAGCCATTAAGATGAAAGCACTCAGATAACAATCATTTTACTTATGTAGAGGTTAGGATCAAGAAAAGGCAAATGGTCACAAAGAAAGCAGAGAAAACACCAGTAAACTACTGATTCCAGCAAGAAAAATGTATCTTTGGAAATCAAAACACAAACTGTTGCATTTCTTTGTTTTATGAAATTTAGCTAACACATAATTTCTTGAT